GAGAGTGAAAACCTGGAAACCGATCATAGTAAATCATTAAATCGGTTTCCAGGTTTTCACTCTCACGCACTCATATCATAGATAAATATATATAATAGTATATTGATTAATAATCCATAAACACTTAAAATTAACCTGTTACTATGATTTAATAATTGTAGTTACTGGTTTTATACCTCGGTTCATAATGTTATGAAGATTAAATTTGAATAAAATACATTTAGCCTTTCAATTATCTAATCCTATCGTGATTGCACAATAAACAATATTAATTTGCCTGCTGAGATAAATGATCATGAATTAGCAAATAATAGCATTTTTCGATAGTTATCATACAAGCCTTAAGGCTGTGTATTTTTGAACGTTTTCAATCGTGTGTTTAATTTATTATGGATGGTGAAACAATTTAATAAATTTCGTCAACATTATGATAAAGATCAATCAGTTTAATAATTTTTTCAAGACTTTTTAGTTTTATAGAAGTCAGAAGGTCAAAGCTTAGGATTAGTCCTGGATTTTGCTTACATGATATTATTGTGAACACGCGACGTTCATTCTAAACTGCGCTGATAACAATCTAATGAAATTTCTAAATATAGTGGTACAGTACGTACCTAGACAAGATTGATCGATTTATCGATATTATATGGCTATGGTGGCTTTGTAACAATTCTTGAGATCTTGACAAACTCGTAATAATCGTGTCAGTCTGTGAATTATTCATTAAATTAGTTAATTTGAAATCGTAAAAATGGTGTAATACAAGCCGTTTTTTAAAATAATCTGCAAAAGTTTCGAGACTAAAATTTTTTCCCTTTGATCAGTTAGTTTTATTGCAGAACAAGTATAACATATAAAATACATATTTCATACTAAGCCGTTACTTACTACAGATCCACGAGAGAACATATGAGTACGTACGTACGTAATGCATTAATTTGTGGCAAAACCTTTGAAATATCGATCATAAATTCTTATGCTAAGCCACTTCTGGCCGATAAAAAATCCACCGTAGTCGCGCGCCGGGAGAAAGTCCGACCATACACCGATCATCTGTCAAATAAAGGGATTACAACAGGATGGACGAGCAGATCAGTATGGTACAGGTCAAAATTAAAAACCATACCGTACTGATCAGCTACGAATTCTAAAGTTCGGCTTGTACCATACTTTGACCGGCACAACTACAATAATCTAATATTATTATTATGATTACAATTTGACTGCGTAAAATTCTTGCCCTAGCAATATTACATGCTTTTGGATATTAAAGCAAATTAAACATACATTGTTAAACATTGAATGATTTAAACCATGGCTACAAAGATCAGAATGGATTCTAAAAACTTTATTTAAAGTACAAAGTACGATTTGTTTGTTACAAAGTAGGACTTCTAGCAAGTACAGTCACGCGTAACCTTATTATTCATTAAAACCATAATATAAATATGTAAAAAATTACAAGCGTCCTTTTATATTGTGAACATGTATACGTATAACTGAGGGAAGTAAAATTTGATAACAAAGTTACATCCATGCTTAATATAATAAACCTAAACCACCAATGAATAAAGCAACTAAAGAACCAACGATCAATTCAAAATGGTTATCGCGAACGTTTGAAGTAGCAATCGACTTGGCAGCTCCTGTGGATGTAGATGCGGGAGCTTCTCCTCTATTTTTTTTTTTTTTTTTTTTAACATTGTTAGTTACCGTTAAATAATTAACGAAAAGTTTAAAAATACTTACGATTTAGGTTCTTTGCCAGCAGGAGGACTACCACCGGAAGGAGATGCGCCACTCGGAGCCGGAGCTTTTGCTTCTGTGGGAGCAGGACTTGCACCACTGGGAGGAGGAGCTGCACCACTGGGAGGAGCAGCTGCACCACTCGGAGTCGGAGCTTTTGCATCTGTGGGGGCGGCTTTTGGTGTGCTTCAGGGTTTATAGAAAAAGCATGAATCATATTTCTTAAAGCAATATTAGAGTTTCAACTTTAAAACTTACTCTTGCGCAAGAACGCCAGAAGCGATAAGAATGCATAAGAATAAAATAATTGTAATTTTAGTGAAATTCATTTCGTATTAAATATGAAACTCTAGATCAAGCAGACAAGGTTTTTTATCATTAATTTTCAACCAAAAATTTAATCTTGGCGCAATTTTTTCTCGTGGATGTTGAATAAAAGGAAAAGAACTCATATTTATAAGAAACTATGAATATGGACGAACCATTTTTGGTTGAAGATGCATTAATTAACTAGTTTTGAGCATATTCGCCCTTCCCGTTCGGGTGCAAAACGCCTCTCTCTTTATAAGATCAAAGTGCGTAAATAATTATAAAATTTTTTTTACAAATATGATCGATCAATAGAATAACCAAGTACATACTGATCGTGATTCCGGTTATGATAAACTTGATGATTTGGTAACTCAATATACAAAAACGCGATCGATTTTTTTTTTTTTTTGCAAATTAAATTACCTTTTATGCTATAAGTGAATCTCTATGTCAATAATAAAATTTTACTCTAGTATATACTGTGGAACATGCATATCTGCATTCATTAAAATCTTTTTTTTCTTTAAATGGTACATTTATACTAAAAATTATTATGTAACACATCTTTTTTTTAAAAAAAAATAAAACTACTCATGCTAATAAATACTATATAGAAACTTCGACTTTTAAACGAATAACTTTCTAAATATGAGTGATTGGACTTGAAATTCTGGTGATTAAACTTGCCAACCCGGGAGCCTGTATTTTGCTATAGTAACCTGCATATCCGGTTGACTTGTAAATTTCTTATTTGAACTAATCAAAAATGCGAGATCTGATTGGCCAATCGACATCCTTTTTTTTTACATGTCTATGATAGTTAGGGGGGCTTACCGTTACATATGAACAATAATTTATAAAATTTTCTGGTAAGTTACCCAGACGATAAGCTACCAGTATCTTACCGGTACGTTGTTTTGTAACTTAACCATGGTAAGTTACCATTGACAACCTAATGCTAACATTAGGTTTATCGTTATCGTTATCTATATATCAATACAGTATACGTGTTATATAAC